TACATGAAAAAATCCCCAACATTACTAATCATCAGGGAAATGCAAATCAAAATCACATTGAGATGTCATCTCACCCCAGTTAGACTGGCTATTATCAAAAAGACAGAGAATAACAAATGTTGGAGAGGATGTGGATAAAGAGAAACCCTTTCACACTGTTGGTGGGACTGTAAATTGGTACAGCCATTATGGAAAAAGTTATGGAGGTTTCTCAGACAACTACAGATAGAGCTATCATATGATTCAACAATCTCACTGCTAGGTACATACCCAGGGAAATGGAAGTCATCATGTTGAAGGGTCATGGAAGTCCCATGTTTATTGCAGCTCTACTTACAATAGCTAAGAGTTGGAACCAACCTAAATGTCCATCAATGAACGACTGGATAAGGAAATTGCAGTATATATACACAATGAAATACTACTCTGCCATAAAAAAGAATGAAATTCTGCCTTTCACAGCAACATGCATGAGCTTGGACATAATTCTGATAAGTGAAATAAGCCAGGCACAGAAAGAGAAATGTCCTCTGCTGTAAGTGGAAGCTAAAAAACAAACAGATTTAAAAAAAAAGAAAGAAAGAAAGAAAACAATAATAATACATTGAAGTTGTAGAAGGAGATAACGGAAGTGGGAAAGGAGGAGGCGGAGGGGGGTTAGGCAGTAATTGGTTAATGGACACAAACAATGATTACGTTTTGTAATGATGAATAACCTAATTATCCTGATTTGATCATCACATACTGTACACAGTGCTGACAGTGAACTCTGTACTCCACAAATATGTATAATCAATTATGTTTCAATAATAAAAAAAAAGAATAAAACAAGAAATTGAAGGAGGGAGGTGGAAACCACAATTAGAACTCATNGGGGAAACACTTCAGGATGTAAGACGGGGCAAAGACTTTATGAAGAAGACCCCAAAAGCACAGGCAACAAAAGGAAAAGTAAACAGATGGGATTATATCAAAGTAAAAATTTTTCACACAGCAAAGGAAACAATTAACAGTGTGAAAAGACAACCTACAGAATGGAAGAAAATACTTCCAGACTATTCATCTGACAAGGCATTAATATCCAAAATATATGAGGAACTAAAACAACTTCACAGTAAAGTGATTTTAAATAATCTGATTTTTAAATGGGTGAAGGAGCTGAATAGGCATTTGTAAAAGGAAGATATAGAAATGATCA